AGTCGTGGCCCACGGAAGCGGGAGACACGCCCCGGGAGATATGTGGTAGGGGGTTTAATGACCATACGACCCATAATGATGGCGATGATGATAGTAGAAAGGGTGATAGTGATGGCGTTGACTTTGCTTTCGGTGACAAATGAATGGAATTCTATTGGCGATGATTTACACGAATGGCACTGGTCTGTTCTGCTTGGCGACAAACTTTGGAATAACGCACACAGTCCACCAATTATCTATTGTCCTGGAAAAATGATTTGTGCCATTTTTGCTAGATTCAAGTCGCTTGCTTCGTTTCGTCGACCTGAAACTGGGACGTATATTAAGAATTTGCGCCGTTTCACCTGTCGAAATGTCTACAATAAAAAGAAAGCTTCGAATACATTTGAGGCTTTCCGAATTCATTTTCAACAATAAAAAATAGATTTAATGTCGGCTGTGACGTTATTGATTACTTTTTCAGGAATATAGAAGTAAATGGTTAATTGAGCACTTGGGCAAATCCATCTGCTTCGAAATATTTCCTTAAACATAACAGCACAAATGGAAATGTGTTATTGAAAATAAAAGCCCTTCCTCTTCATCAAACAGATGAAGAATCTATGGCGTAGTAGAGTATTTGATGGGAAAAATTGTGTGTATATATATCGGTTGACGGCAGTTTTTTTTTTTCTTCTTTTGTCATACAAAAATTCAGCCTTGTCAAGACTCGAGAGCCACTCAAGGTAGCGGGTTACTGGTATTGATGGAATGATGTCATTTTATTACGGCTAAGTTATTTAAAGCCGAATCATATTTTGGAGGATTGTATGAATAATGTTATTTTACGAGTGCATTAAACATCAATGATTTTTTCTTACTATTTAATCCATATCTGGGGAGTGAGGAATAGGTTCATGCCTTTTTCAAGTATATTTGATAATAAGTGAATATAATCGCTATCTATTAAATCACATGCTCTCCCCGAATTACTGGTGAAATAATAATGCAGTATGTAATATAAATGAAAAGGAGGTGGGTAGGAAGTGAAAATTATGTCAATAGGAGGATAGATAAACATTTACACTTGATTTGAATTGAACGGTAGCTTGTTCTATAAAAGTAATAATTCTTGGGAAACTTTCTTCGTACCATTGGAAAATGAAAGAATTAAGGTGATTCGATTCCGTGGATTTTGTATAGTCTATCCTCGTTGTAAAGGTCTGAACTGGTGGAAATCATTAGTGAGAATCATCTGAATATCTGCCATGTAAATAGCGATAATTTACTGATAGGTTAACAGCGTGTATTCTCACTCCAGCTGGAACAAACACTTGGGACGAAAAAGTCTCTTCCCATGAACAGAAGCTGCAATGTGAAGAAATAATAAAACCTTTCCTTAAAAGAAATCATAAAAATTCTTTTGTGTTAGATAATATATCCAACATCTGGTTTTTTGAACAGGAGTAGAGGTGTATCCGTTGTTTTCTGTTTAGGAATAGATTTCCTGTACATTCTATAGTCTACTACAAATCTATACTTGAAACGTCTCCGCCTGACCTATAAATTTTATTTATTAATTATTTTTCCTCTTCAACAGGAGTAGATAAGTTTGCCTAACGTCCGGCTCACACTCCTCCCCGGTTTTTGAACAAAAGGAGAGGTTTATCCCCTGTTTCCAGTTTAGAAATGGATTTCCGGTCTAAAGTCTACTTCAAATCTATATATTTACCGTCTTCGTCTGAACTCGGAAATTTCATTTACTATTTTTTTTCCCACCTCAGCAGGAGTAGATAGGTTCGCCTATCGATCGGCTCTCACTCCTCCCCACTGAATCCCTGTTTAGGATTGGGTTTCCGGTTTCACTCCCAGTAGCTTCTTGCATCTTAGCAGCATTATCGCCTTGCTTGGAGTAAATATATTTTTTTTAGAAAATAAAGGTTTACTCTGCTACCCGAAACGTAGTAAAAATTTGAGCGTTCCCAGACCAACAAAAGTAACTTTGCAATTTTTTTTTTTTTTCACAGCAACTGTCAGTGATTATCGGTAAGTATAACATTATTTTGTAAAGTTACTATAGTTTGAGGTCGTTTTTAGGCGGGTGTTGATGGAAAAATGCACGTGCTGAGCAACAGGAGGATTATCGTATTTCGTAAACGCCGAACCTTGTCTTTCGAGGTTGGCAATAGCTGAAGTACTTTGTTTGGGGATCTTGAAACGCTCAAAATCTCTTCCTATATAATACCATCGTAATTGTTTCCTCGCTTTATTCTATTTCGTATTGCGAGGGATAACTTGTATTCATGACCTTTTCTAAAAGTACGTAGCGTAAAGCGAACTACTAAATACAGAACTAAAATCAAAATTATATTCTCAAAATCTAAATAAAACAACGCCTTTTCTTTTTTTTGTATCGAAGTCTTTGTACGGTTTCCAAGCATTTAACAAAACCTCAAGGGAATGGAGACAAAAAAAAGAGGTAGGTGATAAGAACTTGTTCAAATTATATTTTTCTTGGCTAGCTTTGACTGTATTTACCCACATGTGAACGACGCAGACGATTGCATCAAAAAATGTCCACAAAAAAGACATTGTGAACACTTAGCAGGAAACGATCATATCCAAGCGATAAAATGGTCATATTATAAAGAAACAAAAACTCGAGCAAAAATATTTCCTGATGACCGAGACTTTGTATAAACAGAAAACGGAGAAGCAATAAATTTTTACCAGAAGAAATGCCATCAATATCCTTCTTAAAAAAATAGAAAAGTAAAAATAAAAAATGGTGGATAATCAAGGTGTAAAATGGCGGATGACTGTTTTTTGCGCCTAGCTACTGAAGTTATTTATACAAGAATATACCGAATGCTCACTTATTTACCACAGACCTACTTATTTACCACGTTCTTTATCAACGATTGTGGCATGACAGTGATGAGACATTTTGACAAGATATTCGACAAAACGTTACAGAAGTTGATTCATACATTTTCAGTCGAATACTGTTTATCATGATGATAATCATTACACTATCTCCACGTGGACACACGTACCACCCCTTTCTCTACGCAGTTCATGTACCCGGTTCATATTTTGCGTAACCACAGACCTACTATTTGCATTGTTCGGACTATCATCCTCATCTTTGTTGCCATATTTACCACAACGTTTCGGAATGTCGAACTGAGCCCTTTTTGTCGGTGTAGACTGTCTAATGGATATTAGTTATCAGTTATCTACTGTTAATTCTCCTCTCCAAGTTCTCCAACGCCATAACCTGGTATTGAACTCACACTCTTTGGGGCCTGTCACTGGATCTAACCAACACCTTTATCCACTGTGCCATGTGTCTTTGACGACATCTGGGTATTATAAACCTAATGTCTTCGACAACTATTTTTTACCAGTGCTCATATTGCATTTTTTGCTGTTATCATTTTATTTTGGGTTTTTTTCTACCAGAGCTCATATTGCAATTTTCGGTGTTACTATAGACAGAGACACAAACCCAGATCGCTTAAATAGCCTCGCCAAATCAATGTTCATATGGATATCACGCATGACACTAAACTAAACAGCTTTCTACTATCCACGACCGGAACTGGCTTTTGGGTGAATGTAACTTAATAACGACAATCCTTCTTCAAACATTTTGGCCTGGCGCTACAGAATCACAAACAAAGAACTGTTCCAAATAAAAGAAAACCACGTCACTTACAGACTTTCAACAAGAACAACAATTAATACAGATAGCACATGTAACTCGAAGAGAAAATAAAAATAAGAACCATTCAAGGATTCCGTAGACATGAGCGGTGAAACGTAACCGTCGACTCCCATAGATTATATAAAGAATTCAGTTCAGAAATCCTTGTAGGTTGGTCAGATCGACATACACCCGAGGAAGACCGTAGAGCACAATGGCCGAAACAGTGAGATAACAACAACAAAGATCAGGAAAATAGTCCATATGTAAATAGTGTAACTAATTAGAAAAAAATACTATATGTTAGTCTGAAGCTGACTACATAGGTAGGATCCCTCAACTCCTAGAGAAGAGAATTGCCCAACATGTACCTGCGCATATTATTACGACCTGAAAATTTGCATAAATATTCCGTTGCATCCGTGATTGCACCCTTAGAGCATATTAAAAATTCAGAGTCTTTATTATCCTTCACTGTTCTCAGTAATAATCGGATGCCATTCCGACTATCACTTGAAAGTCGCCGAAAAAATTTATATTAAGTCAAGACAATTATCATTATGCGAACAAAAGGGCTGGTTGTTAGGACTGTCTATAGATATACAAAAACGACCTTCAGTCTGTTAGACATTTTCATGACGGTCGTCTTCCAGTATAGAATCCAGAGGTTGGCAGTCAATATTTCGGAGACAGTAGGAAAGCGTAGTGCAGGTTCGCAGTGGTTATCGCAGCAAGCTAGCGGAGCGTAGTTCTTCCGTCTGTCCTGTTCGCTGGACAAGTTGCCTCTGGTCATTCCAGTAGCAAAACAAAGATGGACGCCTTTATACACGATGGATACAGTGGTGTGCGGCTTCTGATTGGTCAACCTTCTATTGGTCGACTATAAAGGGAAATAAGTCATTTTGACACGCTCACTAGTTATATACCCAAAAAACCGTAACACAGTCTGTTGTTAACAGAGGCAAAGGATGACTTGTTAATTTTAACACTTCCAAAACTAACTGTTCTCTGTTAATCATCTGAGAGGCCTCTTTCTGCCTTACACCAAAATGGTTGACGCTAAACTTCAGGAGAGTGATTCGTTGCGCCTGCTCAGGCTAACATTCTCGGCTGACATGAAGTTGAAAGACTATATTGAATCCATTACTTGTTTAACTGACGTGTACCTATAGCTGGATGGTCCCCGACAGGCTGTAGAATGTGTTCTTCGTGTTCATGCCTACATGCAGATCTCTGTTTTCCTCGATCCATAGTTTGTGGCTTCCATGATCTTGTCTCAGTAACAGCCTCGATAAACAGATAAATTGTCTCGATAAACAGCCAGTAAAGTTTGGATGACTCGGCTGCCTTCAGTCTAGAAACGCAATCTTATACAGC